GTCTATATCTATCTCTCTATCTGTCTATCTATCTATCTGTCTATCTATCTATCTATCTATCTATTTGTCTATATCTATCTATCTATCTGTCTATATCTATCTCTCTATCTGTCTATCTATCTATCTGTCTATCTATCTATCTATCTATCTATCTCTCTATCTATCTATCTATCTATCTATCTCTCTATCTATCTATCTATCTATCTATCTCTCTATCTATCTATCTATCTATCTATCTATCTATCTATCATCTGTCCATCCATTTGTCTGTCTGTCTGTCTGGAGTTTGGGTGAGACAACATGTATATCTATATCTATCTACATATGTGAAGTCTGGGTGAGACGATATCTATATACATGCTTCTATCCATTCATCTGTTTGGAGTTTGGGTAAGACAATACGTATATCTATACCTATATCTATCCATCATCTATCCACCTATCTCGCATCTATAGACGTGTGTATAAAAGTATATATACATATATATAAATATGTATAGAGTATATATATGCATACATGGATGCACATACACAAATATGCATGTGTCTATATGTATGTGTACATATATGTGTGTAGACAGAATAAATATAAAGTGGATAAATACAAAGTCATTAAATACAAGTAGTTTGGGGAAGGCAGGCCCTAACTGTTGGAGGTGATTATGGAGAAAGTGGTGCCTGAGTTGCATCCTAAAGGAAGACAGGGTCTTTATGAGGTCGGTATAAAAAGGGAGGGTATTCCAAGCATGGGTCACAGCCTCTGCTAAGGCCTAGAAGCGGGAGAGATGGAGCATCGTGAGTGAGAAAGAGAGGAAAGGTCAGTTTGGCAGAATTATAGTGTGTGTGTGAAGGTGCATGTGTGCATGTGCATCACTATATGTGTGCATGCACGTATCGGCGCACGTGTGCATGTGCTTACATGCGTGCACATGTGCTTACATGTGCGTGCACGTACGTCCACCTATGTATGTGTACATGTGTGGATATGCGTACATGTGTGGATATGCTTACATGCACGGATATGTGTGCTGGTATGTATTACACACGTGTATGTGCGCATCTCTGTGTGTATGCATGTGCACATGCAAGCAAGTCATGTATATGGGCACATGTGTATGTATGTGCGTGTGTGTACATATATGTCTCTATATGTATGCTGTGTGTGGATAATATCCCTTGGGCTGGAAACACAGGTTGGGCTCAGGTTGTGAAGGGTTTTCAAGGCTAAAACAAAGGGACTTCTATTTGACCCTAGAGGCAATAAGGCGTCACTGGGGCTGGCCACCGAGGGGAACCACGTGGTCAGATCTTTGCTGAAGGCGGCAGTGTGTAGGATGGACTGGAATGGGGGACACTTCAGCCAGGAGGACCAGCTAGGAGGATATTAAACAAATCTAGGTGAGAGGTAACAAAGGTCTGGGCTGAGATGCACGAGTGGAGGAAAGAACAGCAAGATTTGGCCACTGATTGACCACTGATTGATTGAGAGAGTGAAGAGTAAAGGATAACACAGCAGTTATGAACCTGGGAGGCTGGAAAGACGGTGACGTCTTCAACAGAGAGAATTTGAAGAGGGGAGAGTTGGGGGCGGGGAAGATAATGAGTTCAGTTTTGGACATGTTGAATTAGAAATGTGCCTTCCTCTTTGTGAGCCTGTTTCCTATCTGTAAAATTAAGGAGTTGGACTAAATGATCTCTCAGATCTCTTTCAGATTTAACGAACAATGTCTATGCGTTGAAAGGAAGAAGGTCAGATGAGCCTTTGTCTGGGGCTATATTAAATATCTTCAGTACTCTGTGTTGTGCTGTGTCATCAGCTCATTCCCAAACCAGCCTTTTTTGGGGGTTGGGGATGGGGTGGATCAGCGGAGGCCTGGGAATGATCATGAGAGGGTCAGTCTTTGTGGTCTCCAAAGACATCTAGCTTGGATATTGTGCCGTTCTATGTTCCCAGTATGGGGACAAACACAGTAGGCTAGCAAAGGGCGCCGAGGAGAATCCCAGGTCGGCTCTGGAGCCGGCTCTTTAGGACGTTCTGAATAGGCCTGGACGGACGTTCTCAGGCCTCTACCTCCCATTGCCTCTAGTCAGTCCTACATCTTTTCTCCTGGCTCAAGATCAGTCTATAGTCTCCCTCAGGCTCTATGCTGGCGTTCATACCTGCTTATAAAAAGTGTGGAGGAAGATGGTGGCAGTGAGGGTACAAAGGGTATTCCTTTGGAATCAGGAAGACCCAAGTTCAAAACCTGCCTCAGACACTTAGGAGCTGTGCCACCCTGGGCCAAGTCACTTAGCCTCTGTTTGCCTCAGTTTCCTCATTTTTAAAATGGAGATAACAGCACCTCCCTCACAGGGTTGTTGAGAGCATCAGATCAGAGAAGTGTAAGTGCTTTGTGAACCTTAGAAGTGCTGTACATGTGCTAGCTACTATTACTCCGTTCTTAGGCCAAGTATTTTTTCTTGACACTAGCTTGGTTTTTTTAAACTATCCCTCTTTTTTTTTTAACCCCAGATATTGATTACTTCTTTCTCCTTATGAATCCCTCAATCCAGGGATATCAGGCTCTCTCGGAGGAGACACAAGGTTCTTCCCTGTTTTTCCATAATCATTCACCTGCTGTGTATATTAATGCGTATATAATGTAATATGGTGTAGTGGTGCTGTTATGGAAATGCATGTGAATTGAAAATAAAATACGTTATTTTAAAAAAAGAAAGAAAGAGAGCCAGCCCACAGCCAAGAAGACCTGGGTTCAAGTGCTGCCCCTGACACATACTGACTGTATGACCTTGGGCATGTCCCTTAACTGCTCAGTGCCCCCAGGCCACTCTTTAAGAGCCTTAAGTTGCAGAAAAAGTGCTGACCTACACCGGCAGAGGGAGTTTCTCACAGAAAGTTCCCCAGACTGAGGAGATCATAGGCCCAGTTCCCATACTTATCCGTATGTGGCAGATTTTATCTGTATATCTATATATCTATACATCTATACATACACATATGCATATCTATTCTCTATTAATCTATGTACCATCTCTCTATCTCTAGCATCTATTTATCTCTGTTATTTACAAATCAATCTATCATCTTTCTCTCATCTATCAATCTATAATCTCTATCATCTGTCTCTATCATTTATCAATCTCTATCCATCCATCTCTCTCTCCATCTCTGTCTCTCTCTCCTTTAGCAACACAATATTTTACATAGGGCTTCACCATTTTTCCAAGCCCTTTACACACACGTCATCCCAATAGCTCTGTAGCTTTAACTACCCCCGCGTCACAGAGGAGAAAACTGGAGCTCAGAGAAAACAAGCCCAGTTGGCAGCAGAATTGGGAAGGGAGCCCCTTGTCTTCTGACTCCTAACCAAGGCCTGTTTCCACCGTGCCACAGGGCCCTCAAACCCAGGCAGAGAAGCCATAGATGGAGCCGGGGACCTCACACCTTGGATTCAGGCATGTGCGTTGCAACATGGAAGCAGCCCCAGTGTGTGTGTGAATCCACACAATGGGCACAATTTGGCCTAGTCAGCACAAGTGATTCAACAATATCTCTGGTCATCCACAGGCCCCAGTCCAAGAGGGAACGATACCTCCACATCCATGGGTAACTCCTGTCCAAACTGTATGGATTTGGATGCTTCAATCACTAGTGCTTGGTCTCGGTAAACAGGGATAACGTTATAGCAAAAACTAAGTTCATCTATGGGTAAATTGTATTTTCGAGCATGGTTCTGCAGAGTTCCTATTGGAGAAAAGTACAGGTAAGTTGGCTTTTCTGCATTTTTACCTCTAACCCACATTATCCTTGAGGTTGCCACCTTATTGGTGGAGGCACCAGTGTGTGATTGGGCGGATGCTGAGAACTCACCATCAGTCAAATATCTCCCCCAGCAGCTGGCCCCAAAGCCCAAAACTCCAACCATTTGTGCGGAATCCCTTTGAGTGAAAGTACTGTGGGCTGCACGTGGCTTTTTTGAAAATACCAAAATGCATATGTATATGTAGTCACACGCATGTATTATATATAATCTATATTTATAGATTACATATAACTACATACATACATACATTATGTGGATATATGAATATACATATGTGATACATAATGTTATATATTATATACCTACTAATACCTTCATGCCTCATAAGAGGTAGCAGGGTAGTGAGGACTGGTGATCTCAGATCCAAACAGATTTGAGTTCAAATACTGCCTCTGACTCATAACTGGCTGTGTGACCTTGGGGAGGGCATCCTCATTGCTCTATAGTAACCTTTTAATACAAGAATTCTTACCTTGGGGTCCATGAACTTGTTTTTTAGAAAAATATTTGGATAATTCTCTAATCCCATGTATTTTATTTTATGCCTTCAAAAACATAATTCTGAGAAGGAGTCCACAGGTTTCACCAGACCAACGAAGGAGTCCAGGACACACAGAGAAAAGGTTAAGACCCCTGTTCTAAGGCTAAGTTCTGTGACAAGCTGCATTATCAGGGAGTATCCTTAGGAGTTCTCTGTACCAGTGAAATCACAAGCCTATCCCTATCCCTAATAACTCATCATCCACAATGAATTTATCAGAGGTTAGCAAACCAAACCAGTCATTCATATTCACTAGTACTGAGGAATAACACTGGCCAAGCAGGTTTTATCAGGGTGATGGTTTAGGAGGTGTGATAGGGAGGGGTAGAGGAAGGCCCAGATGGGACCCAGTGATGATAGTGATGAGTGGTGGTGGTGGGTGGTGGAGCTACGTGGTTAGACAGCCAGGGCAGCAGTGCTAGGGGATAAATATTGGAAAGGAGGCGTGTGCCCAGAAGGAGCAAGAGAAAAGGTGTTAAAGAAAATCCTCCTTTATGAAAACAAAAACAAAAACAAAAACAAAACCTGGCTTTATCTATTTACTGGCTATTTCCTGCCATTTGCAGAGGACTCAGAATTGGAAAGTTTAGGGCCTGCTAAATTGGAATATCTTATAGAAACTCCATGGTGCTGACCTTGGTGGGACAGACATGTTCACAAGGATTTTTTTATATCTCTGTTCTCAGTTTCTTTGTTCCTGATGTACTAAAGAAACGACCAAGAACATTCTCTGGGCCAATAGCCAGATCAGGAGTGGAGGAGAATAGTTTTTGCCCAAGTTTGCTTTGACCTGGTTTAAAATTCTGGGGCTCACATTGTAGTGAGAGATTCTTATCCAAAGTACAAGGTCCCAGAAAAAGAACTTTCTTGTTCTTCCCCAAATTCTAGGTATCCTGAAAAGGGCCTGGATTTGGGAAGCTAAGGAAATTCTGCTACTTATGGACTTCTCTCTTCTTAGATCAGTTAAGAAATGGAACCTACTGACATTATAACTGAATACTGAAATGGAAACGCCTAAGGAGTCTGCCATAGGGTGTCTCTTCCACTCTTCTAGTTACTGGAAAAAAAAAAACAAACTTTTCTAACCAATCATCTCGCCAGCTTTCTGTGCTCTTTCCTAGTGAGCTAATGCAGGCTATGACCCAACGCCTCTCTGAGTTTTCTCCTTTGTTTCATCCCTCCAGGAGGTGCTACAGAGGACCATTTCCACTCATAACTCTATGATTCTCTATTGATTCAGGACCCACTTGAAAACTTTAGGAAAAGTACTAGTACCTGTTAGAAATCCTTGAGGAAAAAAGAAACCAGAGATCCAGAATGATTTGGGCTGTCCCCTCTTGAGCCACAGCTGAAAAGAGAAACAAGGGAATAGCCTTTTTTTTGGGCCAAAGTAGCCTATATTCTATCTAAATCGAGGTCACTAGTGCTTAGACAATTGAGTTCCTCTTTCCCTCTTCCAGGGTGGTATCTAAACCAGTCCAGAGAATTGGTTATTAACCCAATAATCCTCAAAAATGACCAAGAAGATGCCATAATTCCTCTTAGCAATACATTCTAATATCTCTGAAACATTAGCGTCAGGAAGACTTTGCTTCCTGCGTTCTGGTCACCAGCTTTAATAAACAGATAATCAACGGTTCCCAGGTGAGTGGTTCAAGGTTAAAGCCAAGTGCCAAAAGGATTCCTGAAAGTCATTTGAGCATGGAGTTCTCCATCTCTGCTACAAGGCTACTGTATGTTGAACTTGTCTCCTTTCTGTGCTCCCACCAAGAGTTAGCTAGAATTGAAATGATCCCTGAGGATGCCATCTACTCTTCCTTTCCTAAGTTCTATTCAATATCAGACTCCCAAAGACAACCCTGTGGAACACCATCAGCTCAGCTCATCTCAGCTCTCTTTAGCTCAGGTCGGGTCAGTGAACTCTTTGATGATTGTTTCTTTTCAATAAACTATGGCTAACGAGAAATGCCATGCTATAGAGGATAGAGAACTAGTCTCAGAGTTAAAATCAGCTCTGGGACCTTGGGCAAAATCATTTCACCTCTGAGTGTTGCCAGGCCACTGTCTAAGGCTCTAAGTTACAAGTTATCAGCATGAGTGGGAGGCATTCCCATTCTGGAAATTCCCTACATAGAAAGAAAAGCAGATTTCCCTCCCTGTGCCTTCCCCTTTCCCCAGGCTGGTTACTAGGTACAAGTCCAACTGTGCTGCTAGTTTAGCTAAACCTGAAAGGACAGCTTTGCTCACATCCACAAAAGATGTCCTCAGGACGAGATCTTTGACCCAGGATGATAAAGGCTTTAGTGAAGGGTATGCAGCGTTGGACCACAGCACTGGAACATGGTTGTTAAGGAAGCTATTGTACACCCTTTCCATTTCTTCAGACATGACGACCAAGCCAGCAATCGCTTTGTCCAGTGTTTGTAGGGAAGTCTGAAAGGAAAAACAAATGTTTACCTTAACACTCTCATGAAATGCAAATAGTGAATAAAAAGTCTTCCGGTGGTAAGGTGCAATTGAAACAATGGGAATTTCTTTCTGATGAACACTGCACTTGGCAGTGTAAATTAAATCACAATCACACGCCTACCAATCACCAGGATCTTGTGAACCCCTGGAGAGTATGACGGAGGAAGTCCTGAGTAGCCAAGACATGAAGGTTGAGTCAGGAAGAACGCGTGCGGAAGGTGGGAAGACCAAGGGTTAGGGCGAGGCCTGGGAGGTGGGAGAGGAGGTCAAGCAGAGCTCGGGAGAGGTGGGGAAGGGGAAGAAAATGGGGAGCAGGATGGGGCAAACTGAGCAACGGAAACCAGAGAATTCTCTGCACCAATAGCCAGATCAGGAGTGCAGGAGAGTAGTTTGTGTTGAAGTTTGCTTTGACCTGGGTTAAAATTCTGGGGCTCATATCATAATGAAAGATTCCTATCCAAAGTACGAGGTCCCAGAAAAAGGACTTTCTCGTTCTTCCCCTAGTTCTAGCTGAGAAACCACCTAGTTCAGGAGTTCACCATTTTTTGTGTCAGAGACTTCTTGGGCAATCTGGTCAATCCTGTAGACTCCTCAGAATAACGTTGTTAAATACAGAAAACTGGTAGTTACAATGGAAACCCATTATGTTGAAATATGGTTATCAATATATTAAGAACAATTTACAAGCCCCAGGTTAAGAACCTTGATCTAGCTGAATTTTGTTTTTGAGAAAACTGAGTCATAGAGAGTTTCAGGGGCATGTTCAAAGTTACCTAGGCAAATAAGTATTAGGTCTGGGATTTGAACTCAGAAGGGAAGGAAAGAAACAAGCATTTAATAAGTGCCAACTATGTGCCAGGTGCTGTGCTAAGTATTTTATAAATGTTATCTCATTTGATCCTCACAACCACTCTGGGAGGTGTGGGCTACCATTATCCCCATCTTATACTTGAGGAAAGTGAGGCAGACAGAGGTTAAGTGACTTGCCCAGGGTCACACAGCTGGTAAGTGTCTGAGTCTGGATTTGAACTCAGGTCTTCCTGACTCTAGGCCCAGTGCTCTAACTGATGGGGTGCTTGGGTGCCTGTGCTTGGGCCCCAATTTCTCCTTGGCCTCAGAAACACTATCCCTGGCAGTTTCCCTCCAGCCCAAGAACACTGTGCCTAGCAATTACTCACGAATGGGTCTCAGCAAAACGCCAATCTTTCCCTGGTGCACTTACACAAAGCTGGGTGACAGAGTGCTGGGCTGCTCCCAGCCCTAAGATCATGTCTCTGGAAGCCACTCAATTCCTTAATATGCTCCTGTCTTGTGAGAAAACTTTCCCCTGTTTCAGAGCATTCTCTAATCAGGACAGAGAGAGAGGGGCATCTTGTCTGGTCCAAGGAGTTTTGTCCCTGGCTGATCCAGGGACTCTTCCTCCTGCCAGATTCCCCAGATCCTCTGACATCTCCCTCCCTGTCTGGTATACTCCTTATACATCCATAGCTCCCAAAGACGCCTGGACCTTGAGATTACCTAATCAGTATTGCTGGCATTCCTTTCCCATGCCCTTTTCCATATAAACCCCAGCACCATCCTTAGTCTCTCCCTCAAGAATCCTTGCCCTCTATATAACGTAACAATAAATCTTTGTCAACTTCACTCAAAGAATACTTGAAGCTGTGAATTCATTCTAGACAACCCCGTCCTGTACTTTGAGCTTTCAGGGGTCTCAACCTCTCAGATCGCGACATAATCACTGAGCCACCAGGGCTTCTGATCCCGAATCCAGCACTCTCGTTTCCTCGTTGACTCCTCAGCTGTCACTGGCCACCAGTGATGCCTCCCTCTGCGTTAGTCTTGTATTTTTCCAGGTTGTGTGTATGGAAAGTACCGGCATCAGAAGTGGAGACCTTTAGACAAGACTCATCTTCAATCATGCCATTGGTGTTCTTTGTCTTCAGGACACTTCTCTGAAGGCTGAAGCTCTACAAAGTCAGAGGCAGATGTGCGAGCCTCAGAGGCAAAGGGATCAGACCTTCCCAAGCCTGTAGTCTGGTTGTTTGGGTGGTCAGGGTGGGATCCAGAGTTCTTAGCACGTGACGCAGGAGTATGCTGGTAAATGTTTCACAACTGGCTCTCCAAAAAGCACAGCTTTTAAGGTTAGTCTTCATTAGTAACATTTTCCCACCATCTTCTAAAGTCTCAAAGTTGACAAAACAAGCCCTGATGGATAGAATTTGCTAATTTCTGAAGTCCAAATACCCTCACTGAAAATTTAACAAAGGCTATGGCATGTCCCTGTTGTGGGTAAGACTTTCATTGGAAAGTGCAGCAGTAAGGTCCTGGGGACAAAATCTGGGCTGTGAGGATGGAGAATAAAATACAGTATAACTAGGATGGTATTCATAGAAACTGCAGCCAGAGCCAGGCTATACAGAATGTGTCAGGAGGCTGCTCTGCAATGCCCACAGGGGCCAGCAGAGGGCAGCAGAACCTGCCGGACTGTGAAATCAACAAAGTGGCCAGAGACCCTCTGTGGTGAGATATGTCAACCTTCTGCAGCAGGAGCTTTTGTTAGGATCTGTGGGTTGAAAAAATAGAAGATGAGCATCAGCGGCAGTTGAGATCCTTTGATAGATCAGTTACACCTGGGACCTCCTTGGCTAGGTACTCCCTCCAGCGGTGCAGATCGCCACCCGTCCTCTGGCAGATGCTCTCATGGACCGTTTTCTGGGGGTCACCGTGCCAAAGGCTTTGGCAATGAGGATCAACAGTCGGAGGGGGCACAGCTTCAGTGTATCTCGATAGCCCCCTACCACTAGTCACCCTGCTTGCTATCTCCATAGGTTCCTCAATGGATTCTACAATAGATTCAACCCAACATGCTTTTAATAAGCTTCCGCTCTGTGCAGGGCACCATGCAGGGTGGTAGAAACTTATATTAGCTCAGTCTTTATACACAAGGAGATTATGGTCTAGTAAGGGAGACAAGACATGTACACAAAGAACTATGATATCGTCCAATTTGGACAATAAGTGTAAAGGCGTAGTCCGTGTAAATAAAGCGCTGTGAAAGCCCAGAGAAGGTCCAGTGATATATACTTGTTTCCAATTAGAATATTAATTCCTTGAAGGCAGAGATGGTTTCATTCTTTTTTTTTTTTTTGGTATCTTCAACAGCTGGCACACTGTAGGTGCTTAATAAGTGCTTATTGATTGGAAAGGGTAGGACTGTAGCTGAGTTTTGAAGGGAAAGTTTTTTTTTTTGGTGAGGCAATTGGGGTTAAGTGACTTGCTCAGAGTCACACAGCTAGTGAGTGTTATGTGTCTAGGCCAGATATGAACTCAGGTCCTCCTGACTCCAGGGCTGGTGCTCTATCCACTGCTCCACCTAGCTGCCCCGAAGGGAAAGATTTTAATAAGTAGAAGTGGGGCAAGAGAGAATCCATTTTTTTTTAGGGAGAATGGCATGAATACAGGCCATGAATATGGGCCAATACCCCTCCCTCCTGTCTTGCTTTCTAGATCAGGAAAAGAGAGCTTAGATGCATGGACAACGGAGTAGCTCATTTCAGTGGGAACCTTAGCTTTGCTCCTAACTCCTCGGAAGGTAAGGGGAAAAGAGCAGAAGCTGGTGGTCATTACGTCTTGCCCTTTGCGGGCTTCTATTTCAGGATTCAAAGGAACTCATTATTTTTAGGGGACTTTGTTATTCCAAAAAGGAAAAGAAAAAATGCTCATAAAGGATAAGCATTCATGGATACCTTTGGAGAACTCAAGCTCAGTTTTCTTCAACATTCTCCAAGAAGATAGTGACCCCCTAAATAGCCATATCAACTATGGCCTGTTCATATCCTCAATGAAACATTGCCAGCCCAGGTTTTCTTCCTCCTCAGGTCAATAAAAAGTTCCAACCATCCTGGCTTGCCTTTGTGATTGCTTGTGATTATCCCCGGGATCATAGGATGATGACCTTCTTTAGAAGGTCTGAGTTTAGCTTCTATGGGAATACTGTAGAGCTTTAGAGTCAAAAGTTTTCTCTTTTTTTCTTTATGTGTCATGCTTGTCCATCCACCACCACTGCGTTGGGCTCCCTTTCATCTCTCCTGTACTTTTATCTTCCTGAATTCCTTCCTGAATGATTTTTAAAAAATTTAATGCAGAGGTCTAGTTTTAGATATACTAAGTCTGAATCATGCTGGAAAACCGAGATATCCCACAGGTATCTGGGAAGACAGAAATGGACCTTGGAAAAAGGGTCAAGGCTGGAGACATAAAATCCAAGGTGAGTATTCAGGTATCTATCAATTTGTTGATTATGCCTAGTAAATGCTTAACAACTCTGGGTGAATCTCATTCACACAGTCAGAATACTTAATAATCACTCACTCATTCATCTTATCCGATCTCTTTTTTCGTGCCTGTTTGACATCCTGCGAGGCTCCTCCTCTGATTGTATAACCTCATTGTCAGCCTTGCCTATGCTCATTCTTCTTTATTTTACCATCCGCCTGTCATTTCTGCCCAACTTCATATCTCTGATTATTCAATGCCCTTTTATCTACATCCATTTCTAAAGTACAAATCCCCAGAGGGTATCAGAAGCTATGTGTTATGTCTCAAAATCACTGATAGAGGATCTAGAATAAAAATTCCAGATTACTAAGAGGCTCTCATGAGAAAGGGCTCTTGAACATGCTCCCAGCTTCTGGTAAGATTTTGTAAACTGGGATATCACAAAGAATTTCAGTGCTAAGCACCCAAAGAGCATACTGAAATACTCAAATGCTTCTGCAATCTCATTGATTCCATAGGTCCTTTCAAGGATTCTCTAGAGATCATCCAGGGAAACCCCTGTATTATAGAGATGAAATTGAAGTCTAGGGAAGTGATGGGGCTTGCCTAAATCCACATTGTTATGGGTAGTTAAGCTAGGTCTTTAGACTTGAATTACCCTGCTATTTCCAACACTTCATAGAGGTCAAGTTTTAGACATATTGAGTCTGAATCATCCCAGAAGACAGAGAAATCCCACAGGCAGCTGGGAAGATAGAAATAGACCTCAGGAGAAGGGTCAAGCCCTGGGACAGAAGATCTAGTGAGATAACATGTGTACAGCCCTTTACAAAACTGTAAAGCACTTTGTAAATGCTAGCCTTATAAATTTGGGACTCATTTGCATAAACGTGATACTGAAAGACACAAAAGTATAGAATTCTCAAAACTACCATATTGTTGTAAATATCATTATAAAACACTGGCATTCGACAAAAGTGATGTGACAGTTATCATACTCGGATTAACTTTAGAAGACTGTTAAATCTGTCCACTTCTTGTCCGAGGACAGTCGTTAAGGAGTTGAGACGTCCTTGTGCATCCTTGACAAAGAGGGTCTCCGAAGCTCCTTCCATGTCCAGTTTTACTGAAACACACAAAACAAATTATTCCTAACATTCCTGATAGATTTTCGTCTAACATAATACTTTAAACCTGCTTATTAGAAATATTGTCAATCACTGCAGTATTTGGAATGCTTCAACAATGTTTCCATGATTCAGGTCAGACACATGGGGCCAAAAGGTACATAAAACAGAATTTCACAGCAATCCCTGTAGAATGTAAGCTCCTAGAGGGCAGGGTTTTTTCTTTTTATTCCAAGTACCTAGAATAGTGCCTAGCACATAGTATTTGCTTAAAGAATGCTTGCTCAATCAAACTGAACCAAAAACTGGTCTTGTATATCTTCACAGACAATTTTAGAGGTCAGGTCACTGTTGAGGAAAACAGTCCCGGAGCAGAGAAGGAAGGAAGGAAACAAGTATTTTTTAAAGCACCTACTATGTGCCAGGCTCTGTGTTAGATGCTTTACAAATAATATCTCATCTGATCCTCACAATAACCTTGGGAGGTAGGTGCTTTTCTTATCATCTCCATTTTATAGCTAAGGAAATTGAGCCAGAGGTTAAATGACTTACCCAGGGTCACACGGCTAGGAAGTATCTGCAGCCAGATTTGAACTCAGGTCTTCTTAACTTGAGGCCAGTGTTCACTTACTGTGCCACCTGGAGACTACATTTTCTATTTTTCCCTTTAGATGGTTTCTAGTCTCCTCTTTCTCTAAGTTCTAGCTTGCCTTTATTGGGGTCAGGAGTCATGGGTCTTGTGTTTTTGGTTTTCCCAGGAAAATGTACATAGGAAAACTATAGAAATGAGGTCACTAGAGTCCGGTGATCTGTTGGGTCCTTAATATCTGCTTCTGTGGCTGTGATAAGAACTCAGAAAATATCTTTCTGGGAATGGAGTAGGGTAAGGAGGGCAATTTTGATAAATTCTCTGGGCTTCCCAATCCTCCAGTCATATCTCTTGAGATCCTGTTATGTAAACTAATGGAAGAAACTTTGTAACTGCCTGTTTTAAGCCCTGGTTGCCTACATATCTGCTGAGCTGACCCATTTTAGGCAAAATCATGCAGTCGGTCAAGCTGTACGTCTCTTTCTGCTGTCCCTGGCCCTTGGTGAGGCCCCATCTTCAGATGACCCCTTGGTGGTCCAGAGGCTCCTACACTGGTGTACCTGTACTGAGGCTTGCTCTCCCCAGCAGAAGTTCATGCTGTGGACCTCCCCCTCCCTCTGTCCATCTGACCTGGGCCCCCCTCCCTCTCAGCTCTGTTCTCTCCATCAATAAGCATTTGTTAAGAGATGTCTTTGTGTAGGGCTCTCTGCTTGGTGTGGTGACAGCTAAGATTCTGGGACAAACAAATTTTTGTTGTCAATATCTGGTTAATAATAGGAGGGTAATAAATCTGCCTAATAAGTGATGATTCCTGATTGCCTAATGGGGATCATGAAGGCATCAGGGCTGGCTGCTTGGGGAGATCCGGGGTGGGGAGGGTGCCTTTTGGTCCTTCTCCAATCAGCTGGCTGCTTACTTACATGGTGACCCCTTCTTGGTCACCTCTTACTTTACCAATTCTCCAACTTAACCTCTGCCTCCCAGAAATACATGAAGCCAATCAGTACCTTGTTAATGAGTACATGTAGGGAAAAGCCTTTTTGGCAGTAATAAACACATTATAAAGAGATGTATTTGAAGGGATAGCTGAAGGTTAATGATTGCATGAAGAGATTATCTCTATTAGACAAGATTCAGGATTCTAGTGCCTCCTGACAGCATGGCCCTCAGACTGTCATTTTTTACTCCTCACTGAGTCTCATCATATTTTATCTCTTCTCTGCTCAATACCATAGCTGTGCTTATTTAGCAAATCAAAGTTTTCTAGTGAATAGATCACTGGAATTAAGTTAGGAAGACCTGAGATGGAACCCTGCCTCAGACACTTACCAGCCAGGACCCTGGACAACTCATCTAGCCTCTCTGAGCCTCAGTTTCCCCATCTGTGGAGTGGGGAATATACTCACTCCTATCTCCCAGGGGTGTTAAGAGGATAAAGTGAGATAATATTTGTAAAGTGCCTCACAAACCTTCAAATGCTAGATAAATGCTAGCTTATTATTATTATTAATATTATTATTATCTTATGTTAGCTTTGGAGTTTTAATATCTCACATAACAAATCTGGTTAGCTTTCTAAGGAATTCAACAAACATAAAGATGACTGTGGTATGTGTGGTACGTGGTTCCTGTCCTCAAGTTGCTTACATTCTGCTGGAAGGAATGGCCATAATATTCAATGTAGAGGGAAAGGGGGAGAGTGTTAAAGCAATAAGCATTTGTTAAAAGCCATATGAAGAACTCTAGAAATATTAAAGAGGAAGAGGAGATGGTACTGATCTATCATTGAAAGATTCTGAAAGAGTATATTCCAAATATGGCCTACACAGCCTGTGTGAATTTATAGAGGCTATCCAGTTTGGTGGGAAATATGTGTGAAGGAATGATGGGGCAATGTGAAATAAGGCTGGGAAGGCAGGCTGGATCCAGACAAATATCAGGCTAAGGAATTTGTATTTGACCTTATGGGCAACTGGGAGCCACAGATGGTTTTGGAGTAGGAAAGTGACGGGATCAGACCTATTCCTTTGGAAGATTATTTGGGCAGCTTTGGAAGGCGAGTGCTACTTGAGATAAGGCTGGAAAGGAGTGTTGTAGGCAAATTGCCAAGGGCTTTCAGTGCCAGGAAGGGGAGGTCGTATTTGACTGTAGAGAAATTTTTAGGCAAGGAAAAGAGATGGATAGATCCGCACCTTACAAAGATTATTTTGATAGCTGTGTGGAAGGCACATGTGAATGAGTAGAGATGGAGAGATGGGAAGAGGGGCCACTGGTGAGTAAGCCACTGCAAAAAGGATGAAGGCCTGAGTGTGAGTGGTAGAACAGAAGCTTCTTGAGGACAAAGATTGCCAGGCATTTTTATTTTTGCATCTCTAGCACCTAGGCTAGTGCCTGACACATCGTAAGCACTTACTACATGTTGGCTGAATTCAATCGGGGCCCCTGTAAGCGGACAGAAGGGGAAGATGCTGGGCAGTGCATCTACAGGCAATGTCATGGCTAAATCCCTCACCCTTCATTCCTTTTCTAGCTCTGATATCCCTTAATAACTGATTTATACCTAAGGGATCTCTATTGGTAGCAAGTACTAAAAAAGTTTACCCCCCAAGTCCTGAATATCAGAATCCGGTGACCTTTAGGCTAAAGGTAAGGGATCTTTAGCCCAGGGATTCTTAACTTGGGGTCTGTGAACTTTTCAAATATTTTGATGACCGTGTTTCAATAGAGTTGGTTTCTTTTATAATCCTATTTTAGACCTTTAAATACATTATTTTGAGAAGGGATACATAGGCTTTGCCAAAGGGACTCAGTATACAAAAAAATTTCTTAAGAAATCCTGCTTTAGCCCATGGGCCAATTCTAAATCCTTGTTCATCTCCATCTGGGTGACTGTAAATTTCCTGAAAATTAAGTGTCTATTAAATATGTTGGTGTGCACTGCTAAAATCAACACATTTAATTGTGTACATATTTGAAGGACAGTTCTGCCTTAAGATAGCGGTCCCTGCATCTCCCATAGACCTTCCTCAGCCCTTCATTCCAAGGTGGCATTGTCAGAGAAGGAGCTGCCAATGCTATGCAGATTGCTGGAGGTAATTTCATGACAGGTGATATTTGTGATGTCATGGTGAGGGGAAAGGAAGAGAAGCAGGCTGCTTCAATGGACATCAAGCTATAGGGGACGTGGAAAGTGAGGGATGATTGGGATTGGTTGGTAAGGGGACTATGATTGAGATGAGACTGACAAAGGGCCAAACAGCCAGCTTTGGGATGGGAGTGAGAATTGGGACTATGGCCTTGATGGCAAACCAGAGCTGGCAGGTGGGACTTCAGGAATTCAGGTGTTGAGGGGGCCAAGAGTACATCAGTGAAATAGGCCTGGCTCATGGGTTTTGAGGAGCTGAGGATTGGAGGGAATGGGGTGTGATTTTTGCAAACTCATGTAGCAGGAGAAGGGATTGGGTCGAAGGCATCTTCGGGATCAGAGGCCTGAACGTGGTGCTCAGAGGAAACATTATTCTCTTTTTCATATTCAGTTTCTCATTTCTGTGGATGTCTTCCTTTCCTTTTAGCTTTACTTTGCATATTTATATAAGACTTTGCCATTCACAAATGAATAAAAAAAAGCATTTATTACACACTTACTGTCAGGCATTGTTTTAAGGCTATACAAAAAGGTGACCCCTATACTAAGGAATACAAAAGCCCTATAAAAACAAAAAACCAGGATAGCCTCTGCCCTCAAGGAACTTACATTCTAATAGGGAAGGTCATACTGATACAGATTCTAAAGTATGTAGTGTGACTGCTATAATCCCTATTTTATGGATGAATAAATTGAGGTTACTCTCAGCCAACGGCCAAGGTTAGTAAATGTTGGACCTATGACTTGGAACCAGGTATTCTGACTCTAGGTCTAGTGACTTCTTTTCCCCATGATACCACACTTCCTTTTTCTATTGCCTCTGGAATTTACCTTTCCCCCTTCTCGGCTCTAGGTATACCCCTCTTCCTGCAGTACTATTGTTCTCTCATTTAGTCTCAAGTTCAAAACAATTGTTTATTAGAGTCACTGAAATATATTTGAATATTTTCTTGTTCTTAATATCTTATCCCCAGAAGGTTGGTCATTTGGCAGTGAGTTCCTTTGGCTCTGGTCAAAAGACATTCCCTCCCTCCATTATAGCCTGGAGGAGCTGCAATCTGTATCAGTGGGGGAAATGCTCACACTGATGAATCATGGATCCTGGAAGAGCCTAATGGTAGATTCTAATGGAAGATCCATAGTAGATTCTAAATTTCAGAAGTGGGTGTTCCACCTTCAGGTATAGAGGTAATTAATTTGGTGCAGATAGAAATATATACATGTATGTACACATACATGTATACATACATGTATACACATATATACATGTATATACATATATACATATATACATAGGTATATACAAACATACATATATATTTTGCAATAAGTTTCATTTTTCTTGCTTTCTCAGTGGTTTGGAGGGAATGAGGTTGAGGGGTGAGAATTTGGAACTAAGAATAAAACTGATTTTTTTTTTTTAAAAAGTGGGCAAGTTGAAGCTTTCATATTTGTTACTCTCAAAAACTTCAAAATTCTAAACTAAATTGCTCTTTATTTATGTAAATAAATAATTGGATTTTCATCCCTATATGTCAGTAGCCTTGGTCAATGGTATGCAGATACCTGGGAAGCTTTATTACCTGGTACCTTTGACAAGACTGAAGTAACAAGTTCTTGGACGATTTCATCATTGCTTTTTCCACCCCCACCACTGGCAGACCTTGGCTGGACATCAAGTATAGTAGTGATGAAATTGTTGGTCTCTTTATACTGCAATGTAAGTGGGGAAGAGGAAGATCACTGAAGATGTTCATTCTTTTAAAAATCATTTGTCATGTTGTAGAGTGTTACCCTATGGCTGGTAGAGAAAATACGAGATCTGATATGGCACTCTGGCATTACTTGAGAATGGCAGAAACACATTCTCTAGTAATTAGGCAAATATTTTGTCAGTTATTGAATATGCTCATTGAAAGGCTATAGTAAAATTTAAATAACTCTAAATCTACCACCACCTAGGTAATAAGTAGTTATAGAACTCAAGAAGAAGGGTCAGCTTCCTGTAGGGTGCACAGTATTTCAGCACAGACACATAGTGCAATGATGATATGGGCAGTCAGAGTGCCTTGAGCTCCCATGGCTTACTAATTTCAATCCCATTCATTATATATGGAAAAAGTGACCATTAGCAAGATTACTATCAAAAAGGTGATGGATAATAATTATAAAGCACTCAATTAGCAAAGTTCCTGGCTGGCACATAGTAGGTGTTTTCCCCCTTTCCTTCCCACTCCCACCCCTCCCAGAAAAGAAAAAAAATGTAATGCTGGTGAGAAGAAACTACTGTGTGAATATCTTTAAATACATTCCTAATATTGAAAAAATGCATTTTAAAATATTTACCAGGGAAAAGTTCGACCTTCTATTAAGAATAATCTAGAATTATATAAGTGGTGTGTGGTGCTAAAAATCTGGTTGGAACTCCCTCCCCCCCTCAAGGAATTGTTGTACTTTATGCAGAGTAATTTTCATGCGAGTGTAGGTTTCAAAGTGGGGAGGGGGAATGTGAGGACCGATGACCACATTGTGTAGGTAGTCATGTCCTCTTTGGAGGAAATGATTGGAGGGTTGGTAAAAGGCTTTATCAAATGGAAGGAAAAGGTCTAGTATACATTATTTCTTTTTTTTTTCTTCCTGTTTTGATCCATAAAAGATTCTCTCTGAAGTGATACTTTGGAATCCCAGATAGAGAACAGAATGCCATCTATACAAAGGAGACTGGGGCTCCCATATAGGCAATTAAGAGCTAGTAGTGGGAGGTAAATGCCTTCTTTTGGATAATGCAATTAATTAGAAGAACTTTCAATACTCCCCAAAGAGCTGGAGCAGCAAAATGTAGAGAAAACTGGTATGGAGAGTTGCGATACAAGTCCTTTTAAAGTCTAAAGTCTATGGGGGCAAAGCAAATGCTCTCAAAGACATCTGCCCAGAAGAAAAGATTCCAGGTGAGTGGAAGGTAGGTAATATTTCATCTAATATCTCTGTAACTTCTATAAACATGCCTAAAGTCATGGAAATTGTTTAAATAATAGAAGACATGACAATTTGAAAATGTGTGTTGACTGCCATTTTGTTTCAAGATATTGGAGGGCATAAATCAAACTTAAAGATCACTATTAATCAATAGTGAGACAAATAGAGGCAATCTAAATTTATCCAATAAGATTTAGACCAAAATTAGTCAATTCATAGGATCATATATTTAATGCTGGAAGGGATCTTGTATGTATGTTTAGTCCTGTGCAACTCTCTGTGACCACATTTGGGGTTTTCTTGACAGAGATACTGGACTGGTTTGCCGTTTCCTCCACTGAGGCAAATAGAATTAAGTGACTTGCCCAGGGTCACACAGCTAGCAAGTGTCTGAGGCCAGATCTGAACTCAGGATGATGAGTTTTCCTGACTCCAGGCCTAGTGCTCTATCCACTGAACCACCTAACCAAGGGACCTTAGACACCATCAAGTCCAATCCTTTCATTTTTACAAATAAGGAAAACGAGGTTCAGAGATTTCAAGTGACTATTCATAGTAAATGCCTGGGTCAGGATTTGAACTCAGGTCTTCCTGATTCCACGTCCAAGTTCAACACTCTATCCACTCCTGTCTAGGCCTCTTTTGGGATTGAACAAACCAGCATGGTTGGGTTGAAGCATGTGATTATTTAAGTATGTCATAATTTACTGATCACAAGTGGCTGTTTAGATTTTACATCAATAGGATAATATGAATTTAAGTTTTATATGTTATAAATGGAAAGTCCATCCATACAAACCTGGAAAACTAAATTGGCATTTTCATGCATCCCAAATATTTCTGGGTCATCAATCAAAGGCAAATTTTCAATGTAGTCTCTGAAATCTTGTATGCTGTCTGCCAAAGGTGCAAAATATATACCTGTTATTAGAAACACAGAAAACAATGAGATCTGAGGTCAGATAAGGATCTTATGGATCACTGGATCATGGCTTTTGAGTTAAAAGGGCATAGTGTGTTTTCGTCAGGCTAGAGATTTCACCTTACATCTTGCCGTACGATATCTGTTGAATTTGTTTCCCTTCTGAAAGTCTGATGATTTTTTTTTGATGGTAGTGGTGGTGGGGGTATGCTAGTTTATCCCTTATTTCATCAAAGCTCATTGGTTCTGTGTATACTTGTCTGGTGTTGCTAACCAGTCTGGAGTGGGCCTCTTCCTGAATGTCCTAAGATGGCAAGAATCTAATGATTCCATTAGTAAGCATAGAAAAATAGTCACACAGGGACTGAGGTAAGACAAATCTCTTAAAACAACTGAGGCACTGTCTTTATTAGTAGACTGTGTGAATACACAGGGAGGCATACTCCAGATGCCAAGAAAAACTGCTTATAATGACACCCCCAAAAAGATAATTATAGACAAGCATTTAAAAAAAGAAGTTCATCACTTCTGGTGATTGTGGTATTTCTGAAGCATAGCATCACTGAGGGCCATTTTGTGGTCAGCAGCCAGAGATGGAGTTGAGGGATCAGTGTGGCTTCTCGACAAGACATTCCTACGTGCCCTTAATCTTTGGATTGGTTATCCTGGAATTTAGCCAAATGGTGAAAGAATTCTGGCCTTTCCTGATGGGAGTAATTATCTTTGGAGAGTCAAGCCAAAGAGAGTTAGCAGAATCTGTTCAGATATGTCAGGAGACCTAAAGTATTTCAAACATCAAAGTGAAGCCTTTCAGGGGCTGCTGTGACAATGAGAAAGCTATTCGAGGACAGCAAAGCTGCTATTGCAAAATGCCTTGCTGCAGAACATGGATTAGTCAGTCAGTCAACAACTATTTCAACTGTTTAATATGTGCCAAGCAATGTGCTAAGCTCTGAAGACAGTAAAAAAAAGAGAGGAAAACCAGGGTCCCTGACATCAGCATACTGTGCAAATAACTATGTACGTAGAAGATATATATTCTATTACGTATATGTAATATATTAATAACCAAGTACCATATAATATTTAATATGTATATATAATGTGATTTATATTATAGATATATATCTTCTATGTACGTAGTTATTGGCATGGAGTGTGTGTATACACATACACACACACACACACACACACAGGGTAAGAGGAAGGTAAGATCATGAGCAACAGAGGGTTGGGATAGATAGAGCCAATAGGTTTACAACCAAAGAAAAGGCTGGAAAAGCAAGGAATCCAAGTTTTCATGTAACTAGTGGCCAAGGATCTCTGCTTATATGAGGCCATGACTGTTGCTTCAAAATCTGAGTTGACGCTGCTAGGGGGTACAGTGGATAGAGCACTGGCCCTGGAGTCAGGAAGACCTGAATTTAAATTGGGCCTCAGACACTTGTTAGCTGTGTGACCTTGGGTAAGTTACTTAATCCTGATTGCCTTCAAGAAAAAATAAACAAAATAAAAATTTGAGTTGGGTGGTCTGAATGTTTCTAAATCAGAGTGGCCTGGATTTAAGGAGAAAATCCATGAAATTCTGTTGCTGTTGAAGGCCCTTAGGCCTTGTATATAGCTCCTTGCTTCTTTGAAATAAGTCTCCTTGGCTTCCTTTGGTCAGTCAAGAATAACTTATTATAATAACACGATATATTCAATTTCATACTGATTTATTTATAACACAATACAACAATATGTAATACTACAACATAACACAATATAATTAATAATAATTTATTTCAATAAATGATCATTTATTATTGACTAACTGAAGGAGGCCACGATGGCTTACGTCAAAGAACCTTGGAACTGTTACTGTCTTCTTTCTCACCCCTCCCTCTGTCCCTTAACTGTGGGATTAATTCTTTCTTTCCATCACAGCTTGAAGGAGACAGGACAGGAGATTCCCAGAGGAGAGCAGAGTCCTGCCACATGGCACATTTTGACATCTACAGTGCCCGCGATTGCTTCTTTCCGATCAGAAGGGAGCACCTACCTGACACCCATATACAATTAGTCCCCTCTTAGTACTATCAATGCCCTTCTGAGTCTTCTGGTCCTGCAGCCCCGCCCCCTGGGGGCGGACCCTCAGCCCTCCTCTCTGGGGTGTTTGGAATATCTCTGTTTTGGGTCTCTCTTTGTCTGCTCTCTCCCATCTTTACTCCATGTCACCACCAGTCTGATCTGCACAGTTCACACCTCTGTTTGGAAATCTTCAATGGCTCTCCATGGCCTACCAAATCCAGCTCAGACTAACTGGCCTGGCATTTTAAAGCTCCCACAAGCTGCCACCGCCCTGCTTTTCAGTCTTTTTTCATTACTCCCCATCTATATACCCTATGAGAGTCAGAGAGAAAGGGAGAGAGATGAGAGAGAGATGAGACAGAGAGATGAGAGAGAGATGAGAGAGAGACCGACCCGGGTTCAGGTCCTGCCTCTGACATATACAAATGTACCATTCACTTAACATCTTAGTCCTCTGGGCAATTCTCTAGGACAATGAGCTGCAGAGCAGTGGTGGTCTGCATTGGTAGATGGTGGTCCCCTGCCAGGAGCTCTCCATGGTGATGAAAACACAGCTGTGGACAAAATACCCCTCCCTGCCCAACGGACTTCACCCTTCAGCTAAACAGAACTCGCTTTGTGTCCCAACCACACTCTACACTCTTCCACCCCTGTCCCTTTCCTCAGGTGGTACCTTGGATGACCTCTTACCATCTCTTTGTCATCCAACTCAAATATCACTTTCTTCCTGAATCCTTCTCTGACCCTCCCTTCAGATCTCATGTAGTATTCTGTTTTTTTTTTTTAGCTAATGCATTTATCATGTAATAATGTACATTATTCAGCAACTCAGTAAACATTTATGAACCATGCACTGTGCCTAATATCTCTACATAAGCTTAAAACTGCAGTAAGACTTTTGGGACATCCTGTATATGATTTTCTACATCTTATCCTCCTACTAGATGCTAAGAGTCAAGACTTTGGGCCTTCCCTCAGTGCCTTGCACACAGGAGGCATTTAATAAATGCTTCTTGCCCTTAGCCAGAGAATTTTCAATTAAAAGTGAAACTGATCAGAATATAACATGTTTAAATGGAATACAAGAAGTCTTTGAGAACTGTATAAAAACACCATCTCCACCTTCATCTGTTATAGCTCCAGAACCCAGCCTGCTTCAGGTGGGCAGCTGGCAGCCACTCAGGGCTGGTCACTGATGCCTCCAAAGCTTTCGAGGGATAAAATGGTGCTCATGCTTAGAATTCACTTACCTGAATCTGAATACTTGTAATTCCTTTCTAATGTGTGAGGAGAAAAGAATCTCTTTAAGACCGTGCGAAGGCATCTTTGATCCCAAGTGTCTGTAACTCGGCCTCCATAAGTGATTTCACCTGCAAAAAAAGTGTTTGCCTTGGAACACATACTATTTTAGGCATGACAGGGAGGTATTCTTAGCTATTTTCTTTGTTAATACATAGGACTACAGGATCAGAGCAGGATGGGATGCACCTGCGAGGTCATCCAGTCCAATCCCTTTGTTTTACAGATGGGGAAACTGAGGTCCAGAGAGGTCAAGTGACTTGCCCATGGTCACACTGATAGCAAGTATCTGAGGTGGGATTTGAACCCAGACCTTTTTGATTTCAGGCTCAGTGCTCTCTCATTTGGTCCAACATTCGGATCAGTGTCCTGCTGCCAAAGCTGCTCCCATCCAGCCCAGTAGGAACAAAGCTCTGGTTGGGATCCGAACACATACCACTTCTCACTTGCTCTTTCTATTTGAGTATCATGTTCATTGTCCAAAGCCATATGATTTTATGATGGCATAAACACTTCTCAATAAAATAAATGTTTTTGCACTCCTCCCCCCACAAAAACCACACACTGTCTATTTAAACGGGGTACCTCAATATTCCATCTTTAGTTTTAAATTCAGGTATCTATCAAAAGAATTCAGTGACCAAGGACTTACCCACTTCACTATGACTCTGAAGGGTTGGGTCTATTCAGTGGGCATTCAGACATTAAGCCATTTCTATACTGGGCTGACTCTCCAGTTGGGGATTCCCCATGCTGGAACACTGGCCAGTGCTAGGTGCCTAGGATCTCAGCATTGCATTGGGAAAGCTGTTATTTAAGAGAGGACCTTAAAGGGCAGACTTAGCCCCCATTCTTCCATTTACTTTCCTCTCTGGCTACCTGCTCCACAGCCTGGATAAAGCCCTGGCTGTCCCCTATATACCTTTTCCTGTCCCCTTACCCAACCCCCCACTCTGATAGTTTGGGAACCATGACCCATAATCAAAGTCAACTTTGCCATTGTTCCTGGATGGTGTGTGCCAGTCAGCGTGGTAACTTTTCGAACAAAGAATACCTTCCTGGTAAACACTCCTCAACGTGTGTTCTCTCCCCCATTAGAATAGGAGCTTCTTGAGGGCAAGAACTGCCTTTGCTTTTGTGTGTGTGTCCCCAGCATTTGGCAGATGGGTTGGCACATAGAAAGTGCTTAATAAATGTTTTTTCATTCATTCATACTCATTATTAACAAGGACCAATGAGGTGCCAGGCACTGAAATGAAAGCCTTGGGTGGCTTCCAGGGAAAGGCCAACATTTTGGGGACGAGGCCCATAGGCTGCTGTACCTGTGATGTAGATCAAGGCATCCCATGGTATCTTTCCTTCTTGACAGTAAAGGTTTAGATTAAGTAAGGCACATTCCCTATCACTGTCATTAAATTCATAGCAGATATTCCAACCAAGAGGGCCAAACTTTTTCCTCTCCTAGAATTTGAAATGAGAGATGAAATTTAAGGTTTACTTTGTGTAAAATACTAAGTACAGAAAGTATTAGACTTTAATTTTATGCAAACACTTCATCTAAATTAATTTCAATGACTATTTATTGACGTACCCACCAGTGTAAAAGTGGACAGGATGCTGGATCTGGAGTCAGTAAGATATGGATTCAAATCTTACCTCAGATACTTTAATGGTCAAGTGATTCTGGGTGAGTCATTTCATTGTTCTTGGTGTCAGTATCCTCATCTGTAACGTGAGGGGCTTGGACCTAATGACCTATTGGCTCCTTTCTGACGCTAAATCTATGATCTTTGAGTTAGGAAGCCATCATAGAATTGGGTGATTTTATTTGTATTGGGAACTCCTAAATGAACTTCTAAATGTAACTTCTCGTTGAGTAGCTTAAATGACTTGCCTGGGGTCACAACGCCAGTGTATGTCAGAGACAGGACTCTAACCCAGATCCTTCTGCCACCAAGGCCAACTTTCTATCCTCTGGAGACCATGTTGTCTCTCCCAAAATCACAGGCAGCATGGTTTTGTGGAGAGAGTGCTGGGCTTAAATTAAGGAGGGATTGAGTTAGCATCTCCTCTCAGTGTGACCTTGGTCACTTCACCTTTCTGGGCTTCAGTTTCCTCATCTGTAAAATGGGTAGGGGGTTGGATATGATAATCTTTACAGTCCCTTTCATCTCCATTGTTATGGCCACAGGAGAGTCCAAAGTGGTAGAGAATAAGAGTGGCTCACAAGCTTCTGGGAGGCCACAATGCCCTCCCAGAAATACTGGGCCCAAAGTTGTCTCAGAGAATGAAACGGTCCCCGAATTGGAGTGCTTTGTGGTCTGAAGATGAACTGATGAGCAAGGAATGCAAACGTTGTAGAGTTTCTTACTTAACTTAGAAAACACGTATAATCCCACTCCCCTGGAAACCTGGGGGTTGTTCCTGGAGGGCCAGCTCAGGACTCCTGAGGGCTGAGAGACCTCGGAACTAACACCTGGGAAGTGGAGAAGAGACTGCTCAGAGAGACAGAGAAAGAGTTCTGGAGAAAAGGGGGAGAGGCGAGCTCAAACTTCTCAATGGTGGATGAGAGACACTGGAGCCCCAGACACGTGGGGAAGCCGGCCCCTGTCATGTCCCGTGATGCTCAGACCCCACAACACTAGCGGCTGCTAAGAGAGGCCGCTCCTCCCTGGTCCTCCTGCCATTCTCTTTGGTTAAATTGAGATGACACCTCACTTTTGAAGAGCTCATTTGCTCTTGCATTCATTCATCTACTCTAATCTATATAACTTCCCTGATTTCTGTCTACTCATTACTTTGATAAAGAGGTTGACTTAGCTACTGGTGACTATTTTTATATAACCAGCATTTGGTGGTGAGAAGATAAGCCCATGAGAGGCAGCCAAGTGTTATTTTCTCTTTTAGAGCGACCAGGGAAAGCAGATCTTATTTTGAACCCCTAAGCGTTGTACCCCTAGACCACAAATATTAGATTTTGGTACACAGATATGCTTCGAAACCAACAGCTTCTTGGATATAGGAGGTGAGGGAGAGCTTCACCAACCCCTGGGCTGGATCCTTCCTGTCCCTTCTCTATTTGGCCATGATTGGTGGTGTGCCCATGGCCCTTCTCCTGGTCTCCACAAAGGGGAAACAGCCCTTTCTTCTTTTTTGGCTAGGCAATGGGGTTAAGCAACTTGCCCAGGGTCACACAGCTAGTAAGTGTCAA